GAAAGTATCGATACCGTACTCATGACTAGTATCGGAAAAAAGTATCGTACTCATAAAAGTATTTAAACAAAAGTATCGATACTTCGAAGTATCGAGTACATTTCATAGGGCCTTAAGAGCAACCTCCCCCCCCCCCCCGGGTTACAATTAAAAGAAAAACAATCAAATTTTATTATAATTAAAAACATAAAAATGATATGTTAATTCACAAATTTCTATATTTTAAATAATAAATAAATAATATTTCCAACACTCACACCAATTAGCCTAGCCCCAAAGTAAGCACTGTAAGGCTTGTGTTATGGGATGCTAGGGTAACGGATAGAATACATAAACTGTACATATATAAGTATATTTATATAGAAATAGATATTAAACATCCATGACTGGAGTACAAATGTTCGTATTCATCACACAAACATCTGCCCCCACCGGGATTCGAACCCTGTACCTCTCGAGTCGGCGACACCATGAAACCCGGCGTACAAACCACTCGGCCACGGAGGTCGTCAAACGTTATGCAGATACTCTTAAAAATGTGTAATGTGAATATAATCAACTGCAAAACTACCGTGCGTAATTCAAGTACGTAAGTCCCAGGACACACTATATTGCTTGTGCTTCCAATTATATCAACGCAATGGAATGTTTTAGAAGGTTTGCTATGATTCCACTAGATGGCGTTGCCATCAATATACTTTTTTCGTGTCCCTACCCGCAGTAAAACGTAGCCTATGTGTTAATCAATGGTGTCAGCTAACTCCATAAAAAAAAATATTAAAATCGCTCCAGCCTTTTAGACTTGAAGAAGTAACAAACATACGTACTCACTCACTCACAAACTTTCGCCTTTATAGTATTATAGTGTGACTAGTGGCTCACCCTCGCTTCGCTTCGGCGAAGAGCTGTAGTGTAGACTATAGTTTATGTTCTCAGATTTGTATTATACACAAAGACTTTCTTCATATAATAGGGGTGATGACGAGGTACAGTTAACGAAATTCTATTTAGTCCGTCAGTTAGATGATCAAAAAATAATGGACACGTATTTTTTCTTTGGACAATCAACCAAAAAATGACAAAGTTATAGCGCGTCAAAGTTTGGGAGTGACGTCACTTTTTAGTGAATTTTTCGAAAATACTCTATAGCGTATGTTCATCAAGGATAATATAAAAAAAATATTTATTGCGAGCAGCATAACTCATAATCATTACTATAAAAATAGGTACATGTCACTAAAAATACAATTAATCATTTATTTAATTTAAAACAGTAGTTATTTAATTTTATTTAATAATTTAGGTTAAGGTCTACAGATTAATTATGTCACAAAGTCAAATATGTTAATAAATCATTAATTTCCTTTAAATCAAAATAATGAAAAGTCAAAAGTCAAGTCAAAGTCAAGTGATTGTTAATGATATTGATGTAATTAATGCAGTGTTGTATATTTGCATGCTATTGTAAATGGCAGAATGGGCCGAACTTCATATTTGTGACATCTCCAGTGTACCCCTATTCTTATGCAAATAAATAAATTCTAATTCTAATTCAAAAGTATTATAATGTCATACACAAAATGAATATTAAAATGTAATACACAAAATTTCTTATTTATATCAGACCGTATTTTTGAATATAAAATAGCATAATAGCATAATTATCTACTATATAAAAATAAGTCGGGTTTTCCTTCCTGACGCTATAACTCCAGAATGCACGAACCGATTTCCACGGTTTTGCATTCGTTGGAAAGGTCTCGGGCTCCGTGAGGTTTATAGCAAAGAAATTTCAGGAAAAATTTCAAAAAAAAAAATCTTCTTTTAATCACCAAACGAAATGTTACATAAAACGAAGCCATCTGATGGCGAAACGGAGTTCGCCTGGTTTGCTAGTATTTAATAAAAAAAAATTAGACTGTAACACAGACTTAATAATATTATAATTCAGTAATACCTGTTTTTCATGATGGTGGATATTTTTTTTTTGTTTGTTTAATGTGTCATTGTAGTTTATTTGTATTTATGTGAATGTTGTATTCACCTATTAAAAAGCATATCTTTAAGTATGGTATTTATATATTTTTTCAAATTGTAATGTAAAATTATATGTTGTTGGTGAATCTTTGTCAATAAAAATAAAACATAAGATTACACACCTCCATTAGATAATATGTGCTGTGCATAATGTAAGGTTCTAAATCTATATATATAAAACTCAAAGGTGACTGACTGACATAGTGATCTATCAACGCACAGCCCAAACCACTGGACGGATCGGGCTGAAATTTGGCATGCAGGTAGATGTTATGACGTAGGCATCCGCTAAGAAAGGATTTTGATCAACTCTACCCCGAAGCGAAGCGAGGGCGGGCCACTAGTGTGAAATAATTTATCAAATTGGTCCAGTAGTTTCGTAGCCCATTCCATACAGACAAACAATCAAATCTTTCCTCTTTATAATATTAGTTAGATAACCCCCATTATATACTATCAATATATGCCGATTATTAAGTAGGTGTTTCAAAATGTACGCAAAATTCTGAAAATAAATATAACACACACTAATATTAGCCTAGCCCCAAAGTAAGCGCTGTAAGGCTTGTGTTATGGGATACTAGGGTAACGGATAGAATACTTATCCTGTACATATATAAGTATATTTATATAGAAATACATATTTAACATCCATGACTGGAGTAAAAATGCTCGTATTCATCATACAAACATCTGCCCCCACTGGGATTCGATCCCAGGACCTCTCGAGTCGGCGACACCATGAAAACCGGCGTACAAACCACTCGGCCACGGAGGTCATCGATTTTTGGTTCATTATTATAATTATACCAAGTCAAAATATTGTTTCAACATATGTAACGGAATTCAATAAAGTTGTGTATCTATGATTGTTTTAAATCTACTAAAGAAACTTAGACAAAGGTTACTTTGGTCTATCTGCCTGTTGCTTATTCACGCCTAAACATTGGTGTCGTTACTATAGCATTTGATTCCCTTAATATTGTGGAGAATTTCGCCAGTTGTTTCACAGTAAAAGAAGCCCTAACACGTACTGATACTGAAATTGTGAACTATTTTAAAAGAGCTGTATACACTTCGAATATAAATTGAAGAGATCTTAATAATCTTATATATAAAATTCTTGTGTCACAATGTTAGTTACCATACTCCTCCGAAACGACCTGACCGATTTTTATGAAATTTTATATGCATATTCCGTGGGTCTGAGAATCGGCTACTATCTATTTTTCACATCCTTATGTGGTTTGGAGGAATGTAATCCCATAAAATTGATAGAACACTACGTTGCACATCATCATCATCAGCCTATTAATGTCCCCACTGCTGGGGCACAGGCCTTCCCTATGGATGGAATAGGGAGATTGGGCCATGACCCACCACGCGGGCCCAGTGCGGATTGGTGGGTGCTAACGACTGCAAATGCAGCCGGGACCAACGGCTTAAGGTGCCTTCCGAAGCACGGAGGAGCTCGATATAGTAAATTTTTGGTCACCCATCCAATGACCGACCACTGCGAAAGTTGCTTAACTTCAACGATCGCAGCCGAACGCGCTAGCCACCTGCGCCATCGAGCTCCTCTGCTCCTACGTTGCACACCCCTAAAAAAATTTAAGGACATTTTTTTTATAATGTGGTTTAAAAATACATAGGACCTTAAATATTCTCTTCTAGCACCTGCTTAGCTATTCTATTTTTATGGCGGTACGAAGTTTGCTAGGTCAGCTAGTTAATTCTAATTTCTCCCACGCAGACATAGCCGCGATATAAACATTTGAATGCGCTTAAGTTCTTAAGAGACACTTAAACTGTGTACTTAGCATGTAGGTTCTAGTATTCCTTTTATCTATTCAGTGTATTTAGTTATCCTACATAGCGAATGCATCGTCAATATTGTGGACAAAGCGAACTTGACGGTCAATCTCAGTTACCATCGACTTGTTTGTTAATTCATAATTAAACGAGTTATTTTCGCACGTGCTTAGTTAAATTAACTTATTGCTGTTGATGAATGTACAATATTAAGTGCATGTACAATGTAAGTTGTTATTTCGAATGAAAAAATTAATCGTTTCAAATAAAACTATGCTTCAGTTATTATTTTGACCAATTTCGTTGTAAAGGCGACAGACACATGCGAACAACAGGATTATAAATTGCGAACTATTTTTTACGGCGCTGTGGTATGTGCACTGTTAAATTCATACAAATATACCTATATTCTACGCATCTAACATTGATAATGTGGCTGTCTGATAAGAAAGCCCTTGGTGCGGAAGGAATTTTAAAAGCGGAAGAGAGTTGTAATGAAATTTAGTACAACATTATAACACCCAAACGGGTTTTTGAAGTGAAAACATCTTTAGCGGCGTTGTACACTTTTTTTTGTATGGGTAAAAAATGTTAAACTCGCGTCAGGTTAAACACGGGGGCTGATCGCATCATGACACATAATAAAATTGGAATGGTTGTTGACTTCCAATATATTGGACGAAACATAGTAATATTTTATTTTATCGTATTATATTAATAAGTCTCTCTCCAGGACGCCCACGTGGCAGCTTTATTGCGAAGAAAATGCATTTTTTTACAATAGATGTCGCTAGGTGCACTTAAACGTGATTCATGTAAGTTGATATTTCTGAGAGATAAACTTTTTTAATGTTATATAAATTGTCATGTTTGTGTACGACAGCGCAATAAATAAATATTGTATTATACCACATACATGATAGTACTTTCATACTGAAAATTAAAGCAATTTGTTATTCCCTAACCATTCCAAAATATTAAAAATGCACAACGTTAATATTCAAGTTTTCACTTCTGCCGGCACTCCCGGAGTGCAACCCGTCGTTATTTTTTTATTATTATGGCATTGGATGTTTCAATGTTGGCAATAAGCTAACTGTTTTAAAGCATGGGTATAGATAAAAACTATGTTATAATTTTTCACATTACAGATACGCGATCGGTGGAAAACCATTGCCTCATCTACAGAAGTGGGCAATAGACAACTTTAACATAGACACAAGTAAACCGCCGAAAGTACCTGAACTCCCTAAGTCATATCCTGAGAGTCGAATGCCGAGGAACATCCGCGAAGAATTGGAGAAGATTGCACCGGTCAGCGTGGAAGGCATGGATAGATTCATCAGAGCCCATGGGCAAACCCTCAAGGATATTTCGTTATTGAGGCACAACAAGTTCCCCAGGATACCTGATGCTGTCATCTGGCCGGAGACACACGAACAGGTTGGTTTTTTCGCACATGCAGGGAATATTTGACGACCTCCGTGGCCGAGTGGTTTGTACGCCGGGTTTCATGGTGTCGCCGACTCGAGAGGTCCCGGGTTCGAATCCCGGTGCGGGCAGATGTTTGTGTGATGAATACGAGCAATTGTAATCCAGTCACGGATGTTTAATTTGTATTTCTATATAAATATGCTTATATAAGTACAGTATATGAATTCTATCCGTTACCCTAGTATCCCATAACACAAGCCTTACAGTGCTTACTTTGGGGCTAGGCTAATTGGTGTGAGGGTTGGAAATATTTATATTATTTATTATATTCAAGTTACCAAATTCAAACATCAAATACCAAATAAAATTTGATCACCCACTTTGGAAAGTACTCTTTGTCACAGTGTGCATAGGTACGATTGTTTACAGAGCCAGGTAGAAACTTCTTTGAAACACAAGTTATCGAAAAAAGGAAAGCTTCTAGTTAGAAGCCCTTAAAATGACAAAAATAAACAAATTTTTTACACCACTAAGGACGTCTAGTGTGAAGATTCAATAAGCATTTACAAAAAATCAAAACATAGAGGCCTAGTACAACTACTTATTATTCTATTATATAAAAATAAATAAAAACATATTAACGGGATAACTACCTTGTACTTTGTTTAAATGAATCCCCGATATTTCGACATAACTCTACTATCTAAGTTACTCCGTGATCGTGGCGCTGCAACGATTCTGCATGGAAGTACCCCGTTAATAACAAAAAAAAATATTCTTAGGTCCGTATTACAGAATGATAACTAAGTGTTGATCTTTACTTGAGTACAGTTAGAAAGGGATGTCGCTATGTGCTATATATAGCGACATCCCTTTCTAACCATGCTCAAAACTAGATCAATCACTGAGAATCTTTCTATAATACGGGCCTTATGGTAGTCATACACACTACGAGAAATCGTTACGATTAGACTGTACCGTCCGAACGGTACCGATAAATCGTAGCGTGTATGTTATAAAACTGTACAGTATAACCTATACGTACGGCACGTACTGGTAGCCATACACACTACGAAAAATCGTTACGATCAGACTGTACAGTTCGAACGGAATAGTTTAAAGTACGCGGCGTACGTATAGAAAACTGTGCAGTTTTATAACATACACGCTACGATTTATCGGTACCGTTCGGACGGTACAGTCTAATCGTAACGATTTCTCGTAGTGTGTATGGCTACCATACGATAAACTGTTCCGTTCGAACTGTACAGTCTGATCGTAACGATTTTTCATAGTGTGTATCGTAGACTTTCCGTTGAGATATTACAACGATCCACGTTTTCTCAGGTTGTGGAGATAGTTGAATGTGCTTCCCGTCACCGCTTCGTGATCATTCCGTTCGGTGGTGGGACCTCAGTATCAGGCGCTGTCACCTGTCCCTCCAACGAGCGGCGACCCATCCTGGTGCTCGACACCAGCGAGATGAACTCCATACTGTGGCTGGACAAGGAACAGTTGCTTGCTAGAGTACAGGTGAGGACGTTTAACACAGGAGTCAACGTCTTATGTAGTTGTGTTTAAGGTACCTAATCATTTTGGCACGCAACGCCAGCGATGAGTTCCATACTGTGGCTGGATGAGGAGCAGTTGCTACAAGAGTCCAGGTGAGGACATTTGGCTAGAGTCAAACTCGATGCCACCTCAGTGTCGAGTGCTGTTATCTGTCCCTCTAACGAGCAGCCACCCATCCTGGTGCTCGACACCAGCGAAATGAACTCCATACTGTGGCTAGATGAGGAGCAGTTGCTAGCAAGAGTCCAGGTGAGGACATTTGACTAGAATCAAACTCGATGCCACCTCAGTGTCGAGTGCTGTTACCTGTCCCTCCAACAAGCAGCGACCCATCCTGGTACCCGACACCAGCGAGATGAACTCCATACTGTGGCTGGACAAGGAACAGTTGCTTGCTAGAGTACAGGTGAGGACGTTTAACACAGGAGTCAACGTCTTATGTAGTTGTGTTTAATGTACCCAATCATTTTGGCACGCAACGCCAGCGATGAGTTCCATACTGTGGCTGGATGAGGAGCAGTTGCTAGCAAGAGTCCAGGTGAGGACATTTAACTAGAGTCAAACTCGATGCCACCTCAGTGTCGAGGGCTGTGACCTGTCCCTCCAACGAGCGGCGACCCATCCTGGTGCTCGACACCAGTGAAATGAACTCCATACTGTGGCTGGATGAGGAGCAGTTGCTAGCAAGAGTCCAGGTGAGGACGTTTAACACAGGAGTCAACGTCTTATGTAGTTGTGTTTAAGGTACCCAATCATTTTGGCACGCAACACCAGCGATGAGTTCCATACTGTGGCTGGATGAGGAGCAGTTGCTACAAGAGTCCAGGTGAGGACATTTGGCTAGAGTCAAACTCGATGCCACCTCAGTGTCGAGTGCTGTTACCTGTCCCTCCAACAAGCAGCGACCCATCCTGGTGCTCGACACCAGCGAGATGAACTCCATACTGTGGCTGCATGAGGAGCAGTTGCTACAAGAGTCCAGGTGAGGACATTTGGCTAGAGTCAAACTCGATGCCACCTCAGTGTCGAGTGCTGTTACCTGTCCTTCCAACGAGCAGCCACCAATCCTGGCACTCGACACCAGCGAAATGAACTCCATACTGTGGCTGCATGAGGAGCAGTTGCTACAAGAGTCCAGGTGAGGACATTTGGCTAGAGTCAAACTCGATGCCACCTCAGTGTCGAGTGCTGTTACCTGTCCTTCCAACGAGCAGCCACCAATCCTGACACTCGACACCAGCGAAATGAACTCCATACTGTGGCTAGATGAGGAGCAGTTGCTAGCTAGAGTCCAGGTGAGGTCATTTAACTAGAGTCAAATTTGTTGCCAACTCAGTGTCGAGCGCTGTGACCTGTCCCTCCAACGAGCGGCGACCCATCCTGGTGCTCGACACCAGCGAAATGAACTCCATACTGTGGCTGGATGAGGAGCAGTTGCTAGCAAGAGTCCAGGTGAGGTCATTTAACACAGGAGTCAACGTCTTATGTAGTTGTGTTTAAGGTATCCAATCATTTTGGCACGCAACACCAGCGATGAGTTCCATACAGTTGCTAGCAAAGCAACTGCTCCTCATCCAGCCAGGTTCAGGTGAGGACATTTAACTAGAGTCAAACTCGATGCCACCTCTGTGTCGAGCGCTGTGACCTGTCCCTCCAACGAGGGTGAGTTCTTCATGGCTGTCGCGAAAACCTATAGACGTATAGACGCTTGGATCCAAAAAGATCACTTACGCCATTGCCCCTTATACCGGCCATACACACTACGAGAAATCGTTACGATCAGACTGTACAGTTCGAACGGAACAGTTTATACGATTTCGTTTAATATAGGAAACTGTGCAGTTTTATAATACCCGCCATACACACTACGATAAATCGTTACGATTAGACTGTACAGTCCGAACGGTACCGATAAATCGTAGCGTGTATGTTATAAAACTGCACAGTTTCCTATACTAAACGAAATCGTATAAACTGTACCGTTCGAACTGTACAGTCTGATCGTAACGATTTCTCGTAGTGTGTATGGCGGGTATTACATACACGCTACGATTTATCGGTACCGTTCGGACTGTACAGTCTGATCGTAACGATTTCTCGTAGTGTGTATGGCCGGTATTATAGGGTAGACTCAGGACTTCAACTGACAGAGTCAACTTAGTAAATTGTGTACCTAAATATTATTTAAATTGATAGTTTAAATTTGGTTTTTTTTTAACTGTTGACTTTTTAATTGATTAGACGAGTCTTGTGTTGGTTTTCAAAATGTCGTCAATTAATTGTTTGCGATTGTCGTTAGCTAATAAAACCAAATCTTAACACAAACTAGTGAATTGGCTAAGTTAGGCACATCTGAAATCGGATATCTAAAAACGGATTTTGAAGTCGATTTTGTAATCAGAAATCCTATATATATCCGTTTGCGTTCAAAACTAGAAACGCCCATGTCTATTAGTTTGATTTATTTAATTTAACATTTTTTCCATTCATAGGGAAGGCCTGTGCCCCAGCAGTGGGGACATTAAAAGGCTGATTAGTCTTAGTCTTAGTCTTAGTAGTACGGCGGTATCCGCAACTCGACACCCAGTGCCTATTTTGCGTGGGGATGGCATCAGTCCTGCCATCCCAGCTCCTCCAGAAAGCTCAGCATTCCCAGATGTTGCTGCAGGCTTCTATTAGTGTCCGCGGGCTTCCCATTAGAGAACCTTCCTTTGTCTTGCAACGCCTCTGCACTCCAGCAGAACATGGGCGCTCGTCTCCTCCTCCTCCAAGCAGGCTCTGCACAGAGGGCTGTCAGAAATACCTATATTATAAAGGTGTTTGTTGAAGTAGCCGTGACCCGTGAGTATACCCACGATTTGTTTCAGGGCTTGAAAAGACCCTTACCATAAGATATATTAATGATGCTATGGAAGAGTGGTTCCTTCTGGTACAGGTGTTAAACACTTAATAGAAGGAACCCACCCTGGTTTCGTATACAACAAATGTGGTATCGTAATAAACTTTTTTGATTTCGATTGAGGAGCTCGATGGCGCAGGTGGTTAGCGCGTTCGGCTGCGATCGTTGAACTTCAGCAACTTTCGCAGTGGTCGGTCATTGGATGGATGACCAAAAATTACTATCACGAGCTCCTCCGTGCTTCGGAAGGCACGTTAAGCCGTTGGTCCCGGCTGCATCTGCAGTCGTTAGCACTCACCAATCCGCACTGGGCCCGCGTGGTGGATTATGGTCAAATCTCCCTATTCCATCCATGGCGAAGGCATGTGCCCCAGTAGTGGGGACATTATATTTGTTTTTTGTTTTTATGCCTAAACAGTGGGACACGGCATTCCTAAACTTTTTTCATTTTTAAATCTGTTTTTTATATTTTTTATTTTAGAGTCATAATTGTTTTATCATTTACATTTGTAATGGAAAGTGACTTCATGGGTTATCTCATATTGAACTCATTTTTCAAATTGACGACTCTGTATATAATACAGGGAGAAAAAAACAGCCCTTGCTGGGTTTCTTGCCGGTTCTTCTCAGTACAAGGTCTCCCGCCGTAGATTTGCGAACCGATGGCGTAGCTTTTCGACATTCACAAGTGCTTGTAACAGCCTAGACTGAATAAACGATATTGAATTTTGATTTTTTTTTTTGAATTAATAAGCTGATAATGGTGATGATTGATTTTAATATGTTAATCAATAAATAAAAATTGATTGATTTCTACCAGGCGGGCATAATAGGGCAGGACCTAGAGCGCGAGATGCGCTCGCGTGGCTATACTGTGGGCCACGAACCGGACTCGTACGAGTTCTCCACGCTGGGCGGCTGGGTGGCCACCAGGGCCAGTGGAATGAAGAAGAATACCTACGGGAACATTGAGGACTTACTGGTGCAGACTAAGGTGAGGAGAATACGGGGATTTTTGGAACGAAGTTCCTTACGGCAGGCTTGGAGGGGATAGGGATTTTGCTGCGCGACCGAACTGAAAAAAATGTGATAGTAAAACCGTAAGAAAAAATCCGTGGAAAAAAGTGCGTGGAATAAAACCGTTAAATGCGCATTAGCCGAAGAAACTTCGTTCCTACCTGGTGTCCCACGACACCACATCATTTTTTTTATAATTTTTATTTTTTTAAAGCATGTAACTGCTTGATCTTTAAATCTAAAGATTGAAAGAGAAGTGGTGCGGGTTCAAGTCCCGTCTGCTGCCTGGTCCGCGTGGAATTTTTTCTAGTTATATTTTCTTTATTGGGATTTTTATTCTTCTCCCGTTGTAGCGAATGCACCATCAGATGAAAGTGATTGGTTACTTTTGCACCATTCATATGAACACTACTATTACTTCCCCTTCTTTCCGCGTCATAAAAAATACTGTTGAAAAGAGCAAATGAATGCCGAATAAACAAAAAACTGTGGCTACAATTCCAACGCGTATAATGCGATTCAAAAAGAATAGGACGGGCGCCATATTGTGACGTCATAGCAGTCAATTCAAACGAAAAAGGTAGAGTGAGCAAAAAAGTATTTATTTAATAAAATTTATTTAATAAAATTTATTTACTAAAATTGAGAAAAGAAAATAACCGATTTTTAATAATATTTATTTATTAAGACTGTGCGAGAAAAAACATTAATCAGAATTAAGCTCTTCCATTCCGCTCATCTCTGCATTACCGCCGGAGTAGTTATGAATAATCATGTACTATTACTAGGTCACAAACGAACATGTATCCTATATGTAAACCAAAGTTTTAAATCGAGTTTCTGAACGCAACTTAAAATGACATTTTGGTTGACGATTTAGGTTATCAAACATTCATAGCCAAAGCTCAATAAATGAAAATAAAATATCAACCAATATTAATTAACAATATTTGTTATTGTTTGTTTAAAAATGTTTGGTTTTTATTCTAGAATCAGCTGAGTGCTAAAAAAGTATTTCGAGATTTTTTTGCAAACCGTACTTTTCAAGCGACATTTGACAGATAGAGGTCATTGGCTTTCCTATTCTTATTTGAATCGCATTATACAAAGAAATTTGGTGGCTCATTTCTTTGTGGTACTATCCGTAAATGGAATGCTCTGCCCGCTCACGTGTCCCCTCCCTCTTACAACCTGGATCCTTTAAAAGGGGCGTGAAGAAGCAACATGCAGGCCGGCAGGGTGAGGATGGCTGGTGTGGCAGGTAGAACTGATGTATCAGCTATCTTCGCGTCTGGACTTCACCTTCACTTAACATCAGGTGGGGTGGAGTCATTTGTCGGAACTATCTATAAAAAAAAACTCCAAATCCTTGATTATGCGCAACAAAAGTTTCACCTATTGTTATTGCGGAAATTTACTCATGAAAATTATAATGACATGGAAAGGATATCCATGATAAATACATAATTTTAGTAACCTCCGTGGCCGAGTGGTTTGTACGCCGGGTTTCATGGTGTCGCCGACTCGAGAGGTCCCGGGTTCGAATCCCGTTGCGGGCAAATATATGTGTGATGAATATACGTGTTTACACTCCAGTCATGGATGTTTAATATGTATTTCTATATAAATATACTTATATATGTATGTATACATGCCTTCAAGTGCTTACTTTGGAGCTAGGCTAATTGATGTGAGTGTTGGAAATATTTATTTATTATTTATTTAATAACATAACCGCATTCTATATATATATATAAAACTCAAAGGTGACTGACTGACATAGTGATCTATCAACGCACAGCCCAAACTACTGTACGCATCGGGCTAAAATTTGGCATGCAGGTAGATGTTATGACGTAGGCATCCGCTAAGAAAGGATTTTGATCAATTCTACCCCGAAGCGAAGCGAGGGCGGGCCACTATGACTAGTGGACTAGTTATGTTATTAAATAAATAATAAATAAATATTTCCAACACTCACATCAATTAGCCTAGCTCCAAAGTAAGCACTTGAAGGCTTGTATACATACATATATAAGTATATTGATATAGAAATATATAGTAAACATCCATGACTGGAGTGTAAACACGTATATATATTCATCACACATATATTTGCCCGCACCGGGATTCGAACCCGGGACCTCTCGAGTCGGCGACACCATGAAACCCGGCGTACAAACCACTCGGCCGGAGGTCGTTGGTATAAGTATCATCACAATGGTGCTAATGACATTATTTAAAGGTACTGTGGTTCCTTTGCCCCATTAATGGTGCATTCGATACAACGGGATTCTTCATGGATTTTAAACGGTTTTTGTGATTACCACAAATTCTCTGCATCACAATAAATATTTATATGTTTCTGTGTCATGTTTATTTTATATTAGACGTTATTTATGTGTTTTAAATAAATAATACATTGTGGGTTACCTACAATGCGAAGATATGGCGCTGCCTTGCAGCTTAAGAATGGCTAGAGGAATTTCGACGCGGCTGTCAGGGCCGCGGTAGCATAATTGGTCAGTGCATTCGCCCGGATTGCGAAGAGTGCGGGTTCGAGTCCCGTCTGCTGCCTGGTCCGCGTGGATTCTTTTCTAGTTTAATTTTCATTAGATTTAAACATCAAGCAGTTACATGCTTAAAAAATTAAAATTATAAATAAATTAAACCTTTTCTTAGTTTGACAGTAAATAAATTAATGATATTTGTCTAGAATTAGAATATTTTTAATGATAGAAGATTAAAAATAGTGCTAGTTTTGTAAACAACATATACTTGACGACCTCCGTTACTTAGTGGTTTGTACGCCGGGTTTCAAGGTGTCGCCGACTCGAGAGGTCCCGGGTTCGAATCCCGGTGGGGGCAGGTGTTTGTGTGATGAATACGAGCATTTGTACTCCAGTCATGGATGTTTAATATGTATTTCTATATAAATATACTTATCTAAGTATCAGTATATGTATTGTATCCGTTACCCTAGTATCCCATAACACAAGCCTACAGTGCTTACTTTGCTTTGGGGCTAGGCTAATTGGTGTGAATGTTGGAAAGGTTTATCTATTATATTTTAGTGATTTATTCGGAATTTAATTCAAGGAAAGAAGCTCGATGGCCCAAGTGGTTAGCGCGTTCGGCTGCGATCGTTGAAGTTAAGCAACTTTCGCAGTGTTCGGTAATGACCATCCAATGGGACTGGTGACCAAAAATTTATTATCTCGAGCTCCTCCGTGCTTCGGAAGGCACGTTAAGCCGTTGGTCCCGCCTGCATTTGCAGTCGTCAGCACCCACCAATCCGCACTGGGCCCGCGCGGTGGGTCATCTCCCTATTCCATTCTTAGATAAGGCCTGTGCCCCAACAGTGGAGACATTAATAGGCTAATAATGATGATGAAAAACTCCAACCCACCAGCTGGCCTATTCGCCATCTTTTTTGACATTTACAGTGTGTAAATAAAGAGAAAATTGCATAGATGTTTTTCAGAACAAGTATCTTCTTATTCCATCCATAGGGAAGGCCTGTGCCCCAGCAGTGGGGACATTAGTAGCCTGATGATGATGAGGAATGTATTGATTGTTGTGAAATGTTGTAGGTAGTGACCCCTCGGGGGGTAATGGAGAAGGGTTGTCGCGTACCGCGGGTGTCTTGTGGGCCTGACTGGGACCACGTGCTGCTGGGCTCTGAGGGCTGCCTCGCCATCGTCACCGAGGTAACTTAACCATCTCTCATTCTCATAAACATACACACATGCACATACAGACACACACGCAAATACAGACACACGCACATACTCATATATACAAACGCACACGCATACATACTTTTTATCTTTAAGTAAATGGTAAGATAGGAACTGTAATTTTTATTTATATATTCCTATAAAAAAATCCTAGAGGCATAGTATAACTACTTATTATTCTTTGGGTAAAATTTCTTTTATTGGAGGAATTCGTCGAGTTAAAACCTCGAATTTTGCAATTTTTAAACGTAATTTTCGGCGTTAACTACTGTTGTTCCTATCACAGGATATTTGCCAATGTGTGACAGCAATAGTTTGACCAAATACGTATTTCTGTGTCCCACCCAAATGTCTCTCAGGTCGCGTCCGCTGTTAAGAGAAAATTGGAAAATTTCTCTGCAATTCTATCATCATCGACGGGATTTTCTTTTGACTTAAAGCCTGTCTATTCCAAAGCAAAAATAAGATCGAATTAGTTACCTATACATTTTAAGGTCACCTATCCAATAATCGATCATTCAGAAAATAATTATAGTAATTTAAGTTATTTATATTTATCGAGGAGCTCGATGGCGCAAGTGGTTAGCGCGTTCGGCTGCGATCGTTGAAGTTAAGCAACTTTCGCAGTGGTCGGTCATTGGATGGGTGACCAAAAATTAACTATCTCGAATTCCTCCGTGCTTCGGAAGGTACGTTGAGCCGTTGGTCCCGGTTGCATCTGCAGACGTTAGCACCCACCAATCCGCATTGGGCCCCCGTGGTGGGTCATGGCCCAAACTCCCTATTCCATCCATAGGGAAGGCCTGTGCACCAGCAGTGGGGACATTAATAGGCTGATGATGAATATAAGTTTATACGGGACTATTACCTTGTTATGTTATATGTACCTTGTTCTAAGCGAGTTTGCCGATATTTCGGCACTGTTGCAATTGTCGAGTATCTGGAATCCTGTGGTTCGTATGTGTAAAAAATTTGGTAAATCCAAAAATGCACGCCTCACATTCACGAAACAGAAACCCAGTAAATAAATTCCATTGAATTTCATTAACATCTTTAAAACGGTTATCATTTCAATCATGATAAGAAATATCAGTATAAGTCGAAATTAATTCAAAAGGATTTATTAAAATTAATTACGTATATTTTTCCTAAACGTGCAGACAAACAAGTGCACAGACCAACGGACAGCAGTACTAATAATTTTATAAACTACATTTTTTTGTTATATATACTAAAAAAATAAATGAAAAAATACGTTGACTTCATAATTTAATATGTCTAATTTTCAAAACACCCTTTTTATTGATGTGTCTAACTTGGGAGATAAGAGCGATTTTATATCGAGAGTAAAGCACTCCCACACGCTTACGCGTTGTGAGGCGTGCAAAACTAAATGATCAAAAAAGTGTCGTGTCGCGATCCGATACTGTAAGTGTTATGTGTCGAGGACAGTTTCGGGTGAATAGTGAGAATGTAAACAGTGGTACGGGTATCAAACGCAATAAAAGACTTCGTCGGAGGGTAGACCAATATGTCTGCCAATAACAGCCTACCCGCAATTACTTCAGTTACTCCGTGATCATGGCGCTTGCAACAGTGCCTAAATATCGGAGACTCGCTATAAACAAGGTACACGGTACCAATCCCGTAAATCTTATATATAAAATTCTCGTGTCGCGTAGAGATGTGATTTATTTGAAATACTTCTATTTTAAATACAAATAGAAAATGCAAAATACCTATTTTATATTTTGTATTTAAATACCTTACAGTGAAAAGTATTTTGTATTTTATTTGAAATGCCTTTCGAGATGCATTTTGTATTTTTAATATTAATTTCAAAATGCAAAATACTTTGTGATTAAGTTTAGCCAACATTACCAGTCAAACAAAACAAAACGCTTGTATTACCGAATTCGACCGATAGAGGCGCCTGCTAACCATGCGCGACATTTTTTTCTTCTTTGGTCAAAGTGCGCGCCTTATGTCAAGTAATGTCTGACAAGTGTCAATTTCCAACGAAAACGGCGAACATTATCTATGGCTATGAATTTATGGATATGAAACGCATAGCCGTTGACACCGACGATTTGATTTCACGACGAGTTTATTATTTTCTGGTGCTAGTGAAGTAGTTACTGATTTGATTACCTACTTCTCTGATATTGAAGTGTTGTTATTATTTCTATAATACTGAAACGGTTATGCACTATACCTGGAACTGTTACGTACTACAAGATAATTTAGATAATCTAAATAGACGTGACATGGTGGATTTGGCTGGTGTCTAACAATTTCTACCTGAAGTCTGTCCAGTTTATTGCGCACCGTTAACTGAAATAATAAAGGAAAGTATTCAAAATCGTTTCGAAAAATTTGATTTAGATAACCCAAGATCCAAGGACAGCATTCTGGCAGCAATATCGTATCCATTTTTCAAATTAAAGTGGGTGCCTAAAAATAAGAAGGAGCATCTTAGGGAGCTGTTTATCCAAGAAGTCAGGAAAATTAAAAATGAAAATTTAAAAAGCTGCCTCCTATCACAGACATCGGAAAGAAAAAGAGAAAAAAGCGAGTCTTATTACATGTTCCAGGATTCAGTATCCTCGGCAACCAGTGAGGGTGGTAGTGCTAATAATACTACAATAGATCTGGAAACCCTGCCATATTTAAAGGATGAGAGCACAAGTCTGGAGATGCTAAATGCTTATCCTACAGTAAAAAAAGTATTTTTTAAATACAACACATCCTTACCAAGTTCAGCACCAGTAGCACCTTTTTTCGTATGGTGGGATGATAATGAGACCTCACAGAAGAAAAATGAGTGATGATGTATTCGAACAACTGGTATTGTTAAAAAGCGTAATAAATGAACAATGATACAGTGCAACCTTAATATAACGTACCTCAATATAACGACTTCTTTGATTTAACAAATTCTTCGTAATCCCCTTGAATTTTCCATATGAGTCAATGTTAAATATACCTTTACATTGCGAACATTTTTTGCGAACAACCTCTTTATAACATATTTTCAACTACCAAAAGAAAGAGTAAATACCTCTAATTAACGAATTTTGTCAACCAAGAACCTCTATATAACGATTCCATCAACATATGGCCCTTAATCCCATATTACGTGATTCATGTCACGCCAGGAAACTATTTTTTTACCTCTTTATAACAAATTTTAGACCAACCTAACCTCAATATAACAAACCTTAGTTTAAAGAATTACTCGACATAACGAATATTTACATGTTCCCTTCCGGTTTGTTACATCGAGGTTGCACTGTATTTATTTTTATCACTTTTTAACAATACCAGTCCAGTTCCAGTTGTTATTAGTTTTAATAAGAAAAGTGTAATCATATGTAATATGTTATTAGACGTTTGTTTTTCGGCTCGGCATTATGTGTCTCTATTGCTCATGTATGATAAATAAATATGTACCTATAATAAATAAAAATATCTGTGATTTGGTCAGGGGGTATTTTATTTTGAAAATACCTATTTTGCATTTAGCATTTGAAATACAAAACGCAAAACTATTTAGTATTTTGCATTTGAAATAGTTAATCTGAAAAGTATTTTGCATTTTGTATTTAAATGCTTTTTTAAAACCATTTTGTACATCTCGTCGCGGTGTTTGTGGTTAAACTCCTCCGCAACGGCTTTCCCGATTCTCATGAAATTTCGTGTGCATATTGGGTAGGTCTGAGAATCGGACAACATCTATTTTTCATCCCCCTAAATGTTAAGGGTAATCCACCCCTAAATTTTTTTTTTCGATTTTAGATATTTTTTTTATTTTTTTATGATAAATCATACACAAATACATACAACCCTAAATTTTTACTCTTCTACCACCAACCCCTATTTTTTATGGCGGTACGAAGTTCGCTGGGACAGCTAGTAACTTATATAATTTTAGTGACCATGAAAGTTTCAAACATTAAATTCAGAAAATAACCTCCGTAAGTTAGATTAAATCAAAAAGGTGCAACCGCAAACTGAACGTGTTTACAAAGCACACTACAATATAGGTAGTTACAGCGATATATTTTATATTTCATACGTTATCGACCACACTACAAAATACTCATCGATGTTGGCCTTAAATCAAATGAGTATTTAAATACCGCATAGCTCCTAAGATGCGGTCAGCATTGACACAAAAACGGCGATATTATAATAGGCTATTTCACAGTATGGGGTCATCCATAAACTACGTCACACGAATTTCATGATTTTTTGCCCCTCCCCCCGTCCTTGTCACAGCTGGTCACATTTATGAGACCCCCCCCCCCCTCCCTAGTGTGACGTCACATATTTTACAAAATTTAGAAATTATTGAATGTAAACAGCGGATCTGAAATTAGTTTTATTTTCATTCAAATTTGTTTTTTAATAATATTAACATCAAATCCAACAATTTAACAAAACAAATATGAATAGCATTATGATTACATTAAAGATACAAACTTAATAATCTTGAGTCCATAATAGACATTGAGCCCGCTTCTTTAAATTATTTATAACAGGCATAGCACCACTTTGTTCTCGTTTGGGTTGTTTATGTTTTCGTAAAGTTATAGTTTCAACATTTCGATTATAATAGATTTTTAAATGTGACGTCACGAAATTTAGGACCTCTCCCACCCCCTTGTCACACGATGTCACACTTTGTCGACCCCCTCCCTACCCCTTAACGTGTGACGTAATTTATGGACGGCCCCTATGGAAAATAATGTATACCTATTGTTGGCATCTTTGTTTAATACTAGCCGTGCCCCGCGGTTTCACCCGCGTTTTTCTCGTTTCAGTGGAAATACCGAGATAAAATATATAGGTACCAACTCTTAACATCTTACACACGTGATAACTTTTAAACGAAATATCCGATTGAGATGAAACAAAAAGTATTTTACTTCTCGACGTCCCCCGCGAATAATCCGGTAATGACCTAT